ATGAAAAGAAAAAAGAAATCATGCTCAGTAAGACACAATATTATCGATTTTCAATACTTTTTAAAATGCAAATGCTAACTGTATGTCTTTGTTAAAAACTTGGATTTTCATTGTGAATGATTTTATGTGATTTTGGTTCGAATGTATTAATGCAAAATCAAAAAATGTTTTCTAGCAAAGAAAAACAACGACAAAAATTTAACATAAGTAAAAGTACAATCATTGAAATATTTCTGAAAGACAATGTCATGCTATGATGACATTTAGGAACAATTTGCTTTAGATTCTTTCAATAGAATTCTATGATTTGTACAAACGATTATGACAATGATTAAAACGTGAAATTCGACAGAAAATATTCCTTTATCGAGCAAAATATTTAAGAATTATTTAATTAGCTTGAATGAGTGACATGATGCGATCGGAGTTCTCCGGAATACTCGGGGTTTTACTGAAACTTTTCTGCACAGAACATTTAGAAGCAAGATATTTTGAAACATTTTTGGAAAGAAACTCGAAAAACGTTTGTCTTATAGGACTCTAAGTGCGAAACATCTGTATATCCACATCCAACACCTCGTCAAAGTAAAAGCCGTTTTCTTATAATAGCCCAACCTTAAATCAGAGAAGCTTTTGATTAAATTATTTTCATATTAATTCGTGGTGTCATATAAATTAGAGTGACATCAAGTAAATGCAGAATGATTAGCTCTATTGAGTAATAAAAAATGTTAGTAAACAGCCACTCACAGGTAGTGGCGTATCCAGGATTTTTCACTATGCTGGATTTCACCTTCAGAGCATGGGACCCAGATGACACTTATAGAGATACGATATTGGGCCCAAATGATGAGTTTTTATCAAAAGATCTTTGTAATGGGAGTTTGCGAAAAAAATTAGCATTTTCCTGAGTCTCACCAAGATTTTTCTTTTTCTATTAGTAGTATCTTGATTTTTAGAATTTAATAGTAAGCTACATCGAAATTCATCGATAGATTTCAAATTTCATTTAAAAATATGCATCTGTTCACGAGTTATAATGTTTTGGAAATTTGCTCCATGCTATTAAAATTTTAGAAAAAATTCAAAACATTGTAACTCGTGACCGGATGCATATTTTTAGATGAAATTTGAAATCTGTCGATGAATTTCGATGTAGCTTACTATTAAATTCTAAAAATCAAGATTCTACTAATAGAAAAAGAAAAATCTTGGTGAGACTCAGGAAAATGCTAATTTTTTTCCCAAACTCCCATTACAAAAATCTTTTGATAAAAACTCATCATTTGGGCCCAATATCATATCTCTATAAGTTTCATCTGGGTCCGATGCTCTGAAGGTGAAATCCAGCATAGTGAAAAATCCTGGATACGCCACTACTCATAGGTAGTCGGACTGTAAAGTATCTCGACAAAGCGTAGTCAATACACCAACATATTCTAGCGACATCTTTTTTTGCAATGAGAAAAATAAGGAAAATACGTAAAATAAACTGATAAAATCTATTTATTTCTTTGTTGATAAAAAATATATGAAAAATTATCTGTTGAAAAATACTTATTAATCATATTAATTGGTTATAATAATAAAACGAATGAATATATAATTGTTAATGATTCATTATATTTCTTTGTATACATGATTATTATTTGAAAAATAAAAAACCTTGTCTGTTTAAATCTAGTCATAAATGTGTATAAATTCTTTAATGATTGATAACGATATAATAAAATGTCTCATAGAAGATTTACTCGATCGTATCTGTTTAATTAATAGTTCATCACCTATTCAAATAAATTCTTCAACATATTATTCATCAAAATTCATTGAAAATAAATTTAATCAATCAATAAATATTCTTAATAATTCAATAAAACAATTATTATCATATGAATTAAATACAGTTGTTAATAATGGTCAATTAACAACAACATCAAATATTCGACATGGACGATATTATAATCCAACTACAACAATTAAACAAATAAATGATTTAAAAAAACGTTTACATTGGATTGAACAACGACAAATAATTATCAAACAATTAAATATTAATCAAGATAAAAAAATAAATGAAACAATGTATAAAAACGAAACGAAAAGTTTTTCTATATTATTAATAAAATTTTTTTTTTCGATATTTTAGTTCGGATATTAATTCAATTGAAAATATTTGGTTTGAACATCGATTTAAAATGTTAGATAATTCATTAGAAGTATTAAAAAAACAAGAAATAGAACAAGAACAAGAAGAAATTTATGATGATTCATCATGTGCTCGTTGTAGAATTTATCAAAGAAAAAATGATACTAATAATCAATTATTAAAAAAACTAAAACATATTTATCAAGTTCATAATGAACATAATTATTCAAGAACTCATATTAATTATACAACACCAGGTTTTTAATCTATTTTATATAGAATATAATTAATTAATTCATTTTTTTTTTGTTTTCAGAATCTGATCTTATTTTATCTTTATCAAAAATTGCTGATTCTATTGGTCATAATTCAAATTTAAATATATCAAGAAAACTTCCATCAACAACAACAACAACAATAACTACGACTACAACAAAGAAAAAACAACAACAACAGCCAAAACTACAATCATCTATATCTCTTATTAGTGGAGATGCAAATAAAACTATGAAACGAACAATAGAAGAATCTCGAAATATATCGAACAGTAATTACATTTCAAATAATTATGATCTTACAAATAAACGACATAAAAGAATAGGTAATTGTCTTTTATTATATTTTTCTCCTTAGAAAACCAAATTTTTGATGACAAAAATTCAATAATTTATCATACGAAAAATACTCTGACATTTTCTTTTTTTGTTGAGAATATAGAACGATTAGATTTAACAGCAAAAAAAAAAAGAATCGGACTCTACTATTATAAGTTTTCGAACAAAATTAAAATTTCTTTCATACGATTGAACAATAAATTGATATTGTCCTTCATACGAGCGGATTTGCATATTGTGAAGGACCAGTGTTTTATCCAGACGGATGCCCGGGGGGGGGGGGGGCCGCGCCCCCGAAACTTGCGATCATCGTACTAAAAACACGTGGCTTGCTCTCCCGAAAATAATTTTTCGCCCCTCCGGAGAAAAAATCCTGGATAAAACACTGTGAAGGACAACATCTAATATCGTAGCAGCATTCAATGAACTAAAATATTTTTTACAAATGAATCTAAGTGAATTGTTTTTTTTTGTATTCGAACAAAAACTGTATGCATATAGCTGAAACATTTTTCAAAGAGATTACATTTGTTGTGTACAGTTTGAAAAGTAAACAGAACTCTTAAAAAGATTTCTTCAAGAATTGTGAGATGTACAATCAGAAATGTATTTATCGAATGTCTATCTATGTAAATAATTATGAAATAATAAAAAATTGTTTTCTATTTATTTTAGCTTCTCCACAATCAACATTATCTATATCATCAATAAACAATAATAGTTCATCTCCTCATGAAATTTTAACACCTAGTTGGAGAATATTAATAAATAATGATTTTGATAATGTATTAAATATTGAAAAAAATTGTGAACAACAAGAAAATGAAGATATATCTGATGAAAGTTATATACATCGTCATATACGTTGTGAATTAGAACAAGAATCTTGGATAACAAATTCTCCAATATCAAAAAATATTTCATTAACATCAAATAAAAAAAGTGGAAAACTTCAAACATCATTATCTGTACCAAATGGTTTATCAACAACAACAAATCAAAAACAGTATAAATATCGTTTAACACCTAATGGAATTGCATATACAGAAACTATTGATACAAAATAATTATTTTCTTTCATTAAAAAAAATAAATCTATTAATCTACGGACATTAAATCTTCTTCTTTGTCTTTTTTTTTGTGTGATTTTTCAACAAATTGTCGTTCTTTTCTATTTGATTGTTCTTCAAGCATATATGTTTGTGCTGTTGTATATCCGTTAGGTTTATTAATTGGATATGATAGTTTAATTCCAAGAATTTCTTCAATCATAAATGGTTTAAGCCAACAAACAAGTGGAGAATAACCAGATTCATAAAAACCTAATGGATGATAAAATAAATAACCATCTTCAGCTTCAATTAAATCTTGTTTATTATCAAGTATTGTACGATTAAGTATTTGAAAATGTTCATTTAATCTTGAATCACCATTTAATGATGTTAACATATAAAATCTACATTGACATTCTATTTGTGTTGAATAATCTTGTCCATTCCACATTATTATATCAATTATATGATAAATTGAAGAACGATTATCATATATACAATACAAAATTGTTTGTTTAGGTAATTTTGTAAACATTGTCCATATAAGATTACCATGTTTTCCATAAACTTGTGTTCGATGTGATTGAACAACAACAAGACAACGTTGTCCACGAGGACATGGTATTGCAAACCATGATGATATATCTTCAGGAGCTGTAAATAACCATTCAGCAAGCATCATACCGATAGGACAGATGAATGATGTTTTTTTACGATGTTGACGAGGAGGCCATTGAGATTTATTATTTTCAATTGTTTCATTATCATTAGTTAAAAAACGAAGTTGAGATAATTTTTGTTCTCGTTTTTCTTTTTGTCTTTTTAATACTTCACGACGTCGTTCAATTTGATCGGAAAGAGAAGAAATCGAATTTGTTTTTAATTTATACAATGAAAGAGATGATAAATCAACATTTGATATTATAGCTGATGCCATTATTGAAATAATCTAAAACAAGAATATTTAAGAATAAAGCTTTCGAAATAAATTTATTTTTGAAAAGTAACTTTTTTTTTTTCTTCTTCCTAACATATTATTATTTCGTAATACTGAAGCAATTTTTTTTGCTTCGTTTTTGTTTTTCTTGCTGTTTATAGAAAGAAAAAAAAGGTTACACACCCACCCACATACGCAGAATGTACACACACACAGACAGAAATATACGACATAAGCATTAGTTTTTCTTTCTATGTTTGTTGTTGTTGTTTTTCAACAAGACGTTTTAATTGTCGATAATAATCATATAAAGGTTTCATAATACGTTTTTGTTCACTGGTTGTTGGTTTTGAATATTTATTTTCATATCTTAATAATTCTTGTTGCATATCACATTTTTCATCATATATTTGTTTTGATGTCATTTGTGAAAGATCATGTGGACGACCATGTCGTGAACGATATTTTCCCATACGTTCTTGTATATCACGTGCTTCAATTTCAAGTGGAGTTAATTGTTGTTGAGGAGAATTCCAAATATCTGATGATGGACTTGGAGCTGTTGTTGGTCGTTTTGGATTTATAGTTTGTATTGATGGTGATTGTTCATTCGATGATAATGGAGTATTTGAAGTATTTGATGTGACAAGTGGAGTTTTTGTTCCTGATGAAACTGGACGACGTGAACTAACTACTCGACCACCACTTGTAGATGATGATGATATTGACTAAAATATAATTTATATTAGATTTAATCAAAAGCAGGAAAATTATCGTAAATCATTTCTTTAAATTTTTCTGTTCATCTAAACTATGTTAAAAATCAATCTTTTTTTTTAATTCTATAGAGATTATCCATAAAGGACTGTTAAATAATAATCGTATTTTTCGAACTCCTTAACCCTACTGAAGTCCAATGGGTATAACGTTTTTGGATCTAGTCTCAGTTATCAGATCTGCACTCGATCGGAACCAACCGAACGAATTTTAATGTTCAGTGTAAAAATAAATTTCAGAAAAATCTTACTTGTTCATATGTACTGCTTCTTATTAAACAACAAATTATTAAATATATCCAATAAATGAAACTAAGCCTGCTAAATTTGTATGGAAAAAATCGAAAAATATTCATAATAATAAATATTTAAACGTTTAAAAATGTTTGATTCCCATTGCTCTTTTATCAAAGACTCCACATGAAAATAAATATAGACTAGACTTATAATAATGATCATAATCGTTAACAATAGATCATTGATTTGTAGCAAACGTTTCTATTAAATTAGAGTTATGTCGGGCAATTCTACCGTCTTCTACAGCATCGGGTAAAGTTATGATAAGAAAAATGTAGAGTAGAATAGTTTTTTGTTTTTTTCATAGTAAAATCTATTGAAATTTCTTCACACTGTATAGACATATATCATTTCTCATTAGTGAAATTCGAAACTTAAAATGCAAAGATTTGAAAGAAGGAAAACAAAAACCTATCATAGTTTACAGTCTCATAAATCTATTTGATGAAAATTTTTACCTCTTTAGGACTATAAACAGGTTTTTTTGGTTTAATCATAATTCCTGTATTAGTTGTTGGCATTATTGTTGAAACCGGTTGTTGTTCAAGTAATATATTTGGATTTAATGAAGATAAATCAAGTAGAGGTACATTATTTGTACGTTGATGTTGTGTATTTGAATGTTTTGATGATGATGATGATGTATAATCATGACGAGATTGTTTTGGTGTCATTATAATAGATGATCCATTTGGATTTGAATATGATGTTAAAAGTGTTGAAGCTTTTGGAAATGATTTTGTAAAACGATAATAATGATCAGATGGTGTTACACCACGAAATAAAAATCCATCAATAGCTAAATCAATACAATCACGTAAAAAATTATTTGTTGATATTGAACTCATTAATGACGCATTAGTATCATTAATTATTGACATTATTGTGTTGTTTCTTTTGCTGTATTTTATCTGATTAAGAAAAAAAAAAAAAAACTAACTAACAATATGTTTTTTGACGAAGGAAACAACGGATTGCTCGTTAGCAACCAATCGTATTTTATTTTAGAGGATAAAAGTGAACATATGAATAGTTTACTTAATCTACCAATCATTTTTATCAATTCAATTGGTTAGACGTTTTTTTTATTTTGCTTAACATTCATTGTTTAATTTTGACATTAAAAAAAAAAAAAAACAGAAATGGCTTCAATGACAAATACAAATCCTTTACTTGAATATTTGGAAGATGGAAAAGCTTATGATTTAGAATTTGGTGATACATGGAATTCAATTAATGATGGAAATTCATCGAAATATGCTTATCATACAATTAAATGTATTTAGACTCTTGAATTTTATTTTTAAGTTTGTTTTTTTGTTTTTGAGAATTTTTAGATGATTTTAAACCTGCATCTGTTGCAAAATCTGAACAAGCTGAATTAAGTGTTGGTTCAACACAAGATGTTTCAATTACATTACCAAATGTTGAAGTAAGATCATTTGATTTTTTTTTTATATTGAAAAAGAAATTATGATGTTTATTTACTAGGGTTCATTAACTCAATCAACAAAATTTTCTGGTAGTACAAAACCATATACACCAAAAGAATGTTTAATGATAATTGATCCTCGTACTGGTAAAATAATACTTGAAAGATTATCAGCTAATGTTCGAGTAAAAAATGTTCGGTAAAAACTTTTTTTTTTCTTTTATTGTTTATTTAAGTAACATGTTTTTTTTTTCTTAAGAGCGGAAAATCGTCCTGTAATTCCACCAATACGACCTACAGTTCCACGTGTAAATGCAACTGATTCTCAGCCAGATAAAAAATCAACTAAGACAACAGTACCATCAATAACAACAGCAAATAAACCAACAACAACACATAAAATGACAAATCCTAGTAAACCAATAGTTACTGCACCTGTTAAACCAATGCCAAATAAACCATTATCTCCTATTGATGATCGACTTAGTGATGATGGATGTAAATTTATTTATTTGATTTTGTGTTTTTCATTTAATTAATAATTTTATTTTCGAATATAAAGTTTCACCAGAGCCATCTGAACATGTTCCAACATATCCATCAAATCCACCACCAGTACAAACACATGTAACAGTTAGACGTTCATCACATGGATCACTTGGTTAGATAAAGAATTTATTTTGTTTTTTGTATTTGAAATTATTTTCTTTTATTTTAGCAAATGATCTTCAACTTAGTGATACGAGTGATGAAGAATATTAAAATATAATTCTTGTTTTTTTTTTCTTTCTTAATTTATATTTACTCAAGTTTTTTTTTTTGTTAATTCTCTTCTTTTTCTTTATTTCAGATATGACATCAGTAAATAAAGTTGATCGAGCAATTTTATTTTCTCGTATGTTTATATTTAAGAACAAAAAAAAAAGTTCCTTTGTTTTGAAATTTTTAATTTATTTGATTAGAATGTCAATTTTTTATTGATTATCGTTCAAGTCAAAATGGTTGTGATCGATCTCTTCGTTTAGGAAATGAATTAGAAAAAAAATATGGTGCTAATATTGTTGAACAACCACAAGTTTCTTCTACAACACATATTATTTTTAAAAATGGAAATTTAGAAACAAAATTATTTGCAAAAAAATATAATATACCATTGGTTGATCCTATGTGGTTAGAACATTCTATTAAAAAAAGAAGATTAATTAAAATTGATAAATATCAAGTTCAGAATGATGAAAATCAACAACCAGCAGGTTATTTTTTTCTTGAATAAATCTATGAATTAAAACGAAATACTAAGCGTAGTTTTTTATCTAACAAGGAAAGCTCCTCAATTTTATTACTGTCAGCGTATTGAATTTTTACGGAATTTTCAATATTTTTTTCAATTTAATTTCGTTCAGAGACTATTAAGTTTGCGAACAACAATAATTAAGAGTTAAGAATCTTCTTATTCGGTCACAGATAACTCATTCTGAAAAACAAAATCATTAATTTTGCAGATGCTATATGCAAACGGTTCTTTTTATGGAATACAGTACCCGCCATAAGTGGAGGCGGCCTCTTTTTCTTGTTCAACAATGAATTTTATTTTATCTTTTTGCTCTTGTTTGAACGGGCTAGTCGGATTCATCATGGGGTAAAAATAGGAGTATTTATATTCATTCTGTTATCAATTTATAACTCAATAGAAAACGAACAGTTTTTTTTTTAAGAAAAGACGAGATATTATCTTTCTATAAAGGCAGAACTATTCTCCACATATGTCAAATAGTGATATTTCACGGTATCTATACGAAGCAGTGAGTAATTGTAAAATGTAGGCTTAAAAGATATGAAATAGCTGATGACGTATAAGTTGCACAAAAATCCGGTCTATACCGGAAAAACAATACGCAATGATTCAATCCCTGGTAGCTCAACATTCAATCGAATCTGTCGGTCAAATTGAGTTCAGATTATCACAGAAAGATATAAAAATTCAGAATAAACAAAGAATCGTATATATCGATCAATAATTTCATTGAAAGAATGGAGAAACTTAGCTAATGAATTTGCTGAAAATTAGGCGATTCTATGGCAAATAGAGTAGCAATCTTAATTGAAAGAAAAGGAGATTATTAGGGTGATGTACATATAATAAAACAACTCCTTTGTCTTCTTCATTTTTTCGATCGCTCCCACTTATGGCGGGTACTGTAGTTGGTTTAAACCAAGGGAGAGACGACGTTCTTCAATGTTTCCTGAAACAAAATAAGTACAAGAGTACAGTAGTAATATACAGTTTGCAGAGTTCTGGGATATAGTGTCATAACTAAGCCAAATTTAGACCGAAATCCAAGAAAGTAAGAATATATTCTTGTATTTCACGTACTCTTTATTTATTAGAGTATGCGGTTTCTCCTTATTGATAATTCATAATTCAGTCACTTTTATTGAGACAGTGATTGATCAGTTAAAAATGTTTCTTCATTAGTTCAATCCATGAATAGATCTTTAAATTTCACAATACTAATCGAAATTCTTGAATATTCATAGAAGAACTTGCATTCGAACAATTAGCAATATCAAATAAAGATCTAATTACACCATCTACACCTAAAAATAAGGTGAATTATTATTTATTTTTCTATAATTATAGTTTTCATATTTGTTAAATATTATTTTCAGATAGATCAATCACAAGATGTAAATATTGATTCAGGAAAACGAAATAAAAAAGTTCTTTATACACCAATTCGTGGTCAATTTGATCAAGGAAATCCACATGAATATTTTGATCATCAAAAACGAATAATAACACTTGAAAATTTAGGAATGAATTTGCCAGGTACATTTTTATTTTTAATTTAGAAAAAAATAAGTAAATAAAATATTCTTTTCAAGATGATAATCATATATTAATTCATCGATATGGATGTAGTGTTGCTCGTCGACAAGTTCAAGAAAATGTTCGTCCTCAATCTCAATTAAAAGGTTAAATTAAATAAAAAAAAATTGTTAATCTTTTATCTTTAACATAATTTTATGCGCTCTTTTAGATAAATCATCGATTTCTTTACAAAAAGAATTACCAACAACAATAAGTATTCCATCTCAATCTCAATCATCGCCTATTATTCATTTCGCTAAGGTAAAAATAATCAAAATCTTTTCATGAAATACGATCTAATAGAAATATTGAAGTTCAGTAATAAAAATCTACTTCTACTTTCTTTCAGATTTTTAATCCTATTGAAATTATACTAATAGCTTCTGTTTTTTTGTTGTTCTTAGCCTGTTCGTCAAACTCGAAATCCTGAAATTCAAATTGTTGTTTCTCCTTCAACAACATTCGATTTTGATAGTCAACAACAATTTGTTACATTAGGTAATCTTCCTCAATCAACTCCAATATTACGTCCAACATTACCATTAAATAATATTGATAATAATCAACCAAAGGAAATTTTTATTGAAAAAAATCTACAAGAAAAACAATTTATAACACCATTAAAAACAATTGATTATTCATCATTTACAAAAATAACACCTTTTAATCAAATAAATACTAAAACAAAATCAAGAATTAGATTTGAAATATGTCATAATGATGAAGATGATGATAGAGATTTAATATTACCAAATGTTAAAGAAATAATTCGTGAACTTGAAATATCAACAAATAATGATCAAATTATTCCACGACCACCACCACTTGTTGCATTATCACAAGTTATTCGAACTAAACATCCTGAACAATTAATTGATACAAAATTATATAATCAATTACCATCTATTAAAGATTTACCAAATTCACCAGCAAATTATTCATTTGTTTTTTATGGATTTACATCAATGTATGTTTAAAGAATATTTTATCAAATTTTGATTTATTTTTTTTTTGTTTTATAGACAATTAGAAGAAGCTAAACGATTAACACGTCGTATGGGTGATTGTTTTTCATTTGAAAAAATTGATATGACAATTACACATGTTATTTTACCTGATGATGATCCTCAAATTGAATTAACACTTGATCTTCTTCTTGCATTAATTTATGGATGGTTAGTTAGTTGTTAATAATCAACAATTAGTAAATCTTGAAGAATTAAAATATTTAAATTAATTTGATATATTTATTTCTAGTCGATTAGTAACATTTGAATGGTTAAAATCTTCATCACGTATTGGTGAATGGTTAAATGTTAATAAATTTGAACCGAAACGATTTTTTCAAACATATCCATCATTAAGCATATATCGTAAATTTCGACAACAACAGAAACCAATTCATTTATTTAATCAATGTGGTCTTATTTATTTAACATCAATAGCTAAACAACGATCATTATTACTTAAATTGATAACATTATTAGGTGGAAATGTAAGTTTTGTTTCATTATAATTCTGTGAGTTTTGTTTTTTATTTTTTATATAGATTACAGTTAGTCGTAATCTGGCTAAAATTGTTGTTGGACAGTCATCTAAATCACTTTCAATTATTATTCATCCGCAAGTTACTGAACAATGGGTTATTGGTAATTTTAAATTTATTTATTTATCTTTTTTGTTATTTTCTTTTATTATTCTTGTTTTAGATTCAATTAAATCAGGACAATGTCTTCCAACAGATGATTATCTTATTGAAAACAATACTGAATAACCGGCATAATTAATTCTAAAGATAAATAAAGTCAAAATGTTTATGTCAGATTTTTTTCTTTTTTTTTATATATATATATATATATATATATATATATATTTGAAGTTGTCTATAGATTATTGTACAGATGAACGAATAGAATTGTTGATTTTCAAAAAATAAATATTTACATATAAAGTTTATTTGTCAATAAATTGATGAAAACTTATTAACAATAGATTTTAACTGTTCATTTTCAAAATTTTAATCTATAAACGTATGAACAATTGTAATATTATTTAAAATTAATATTAGAAACATTGTTTTTTTTCTGAGTAGTTTTCTTTTTATTAAAAGAAAAGAATTGATTTCTCTTGATATATTCTGTCCTTGCTAGGTTTTGTATGAATTCAGAAAAGAAAAAAAAAGAAATTTCTGGTTAGTATTGACTAACGTATGAAAAATCTATTACATGTGATCTACGAATAACCTTAACAAGAACTCCAAGATGTGCATTTCCTATTGATATTTAATTTTTGATCATTTTTTTATATTTTATTACTGTATCAATTATTATTTGAATTTTTTCTTGGAAACGAACGTATGAAGATCTTATACTCTCTTCAATCACCTTAATCCTTATTTACATTTAACTTGATCATTTAAATCTAATAGATTTGAATTCAATTAATAAAAGAGTTTACATGACGATTCAGCGATTACCATATCTTTGCGAATATAACTATTAATTATATAATTACATAAACGAGTCAAAGTCTTGAAGTCGAATAAGTCACCAAGAGCTGTTAGCTTTGATTATTAAATTATGATTTTAATGCTTACTCACACTCTGATGAGTAATAGTAACTAGCGCAAAAAGTACAGTAACTCTAATTCGAAAAAAAAACAATCCACTTGTCGTCTGAAGTTTTAGTTTTTAATGGTAATGTACAGTTGATAATAAAAACAGTGTTAGAATATTCCTCATGAAAATCGTCAATAACTTAATCTTATTCAACATCTCTTTCAAAATTTCTCGGATTCGTTTCTATTATTATTAGTAGAAATATATTTTCAACATAAACGAAAATTTTTATTTAGAAAAAAAAAAGCTAACATATCCAATTGAACTGATACAACATAAGAATGAATTATTCGAGTTACATGATACTTCGAAATCAAAGAAAAAATAATAATAAACATCATTTACAATAACTAACATTTGAATATTAATTATAATAAACAGCCGGTTTAAAATTTACTATTTTATCTTGACATGTTTCTTTACACTTTTTCTGTATGACAAAATATTTTTTTATTTTATTATAAATGATTAAAAATAAAATAACTTACAGCTAAGACTTTAATAGGTACTTTTGACTGAATTTTTTCACTAACACATTTAACTTCACATGGATCTGCATATGCAAATTTTTTAAGTTGACGACGTAAACGTGTATATACAGTAGTATCATCATCATCATTATCAGAATTTTCTATACTATCACCAGTCAATATTCCAAGTTCAGAAAAGATTATTGAGATGATGAACAAAAAAGAAACTAAAGATAATCAGATATATTTGTATTTATGTTCAATTATCTTAACATACTCAATTGATTGATAATCATTTTGAAGAATAAGATAAAATACAATTAACTGATATATGGATAGTTTAACAGAATGTTTTTATAGGATGAATGAAATTAGCGCTAGTTTTTTTTTTTTGTTTTCAACTTAACAACACAATTAGTTATTTTACAAGAAAATTTTTCTTATAGAAAGAAAAAAAAAAGAATATTTTAATTGTTTATTATTAAGAATTTCTTATATATAGGACAAGACTTTCTATTTTTTGAATAAAAACAAAAAAATTGATTAATGAAAGTAAATCATACATTAGATTATTTCATATTATTTGATCATTATTTCTTAGTTATTCAAATGTTATAATCACTAAGATATATATATATATATGTAAGAAATACCTATCGATAGATAATGAATACAAACAACGAATCTCAAGAAGAATTAATTATACTTGTCAGTGCTATATTTAGTATGATATCATGTATAATGTCTATTTTGGCAACAACAACATCTGGATGGCAAATAGATAGTTATCATAATAAAACAGGTCTATTTCAAACATGTTATAAAGATAATTGTACAAGTGTAAGAGAAAAACATAATATATCAATAGTATTTGCTATTATTGGACAATGTTTTATTATATTTGGTATAATTAGTTCATTTATAAATGTATTTATTTATCGACGTCGAATAGGTTTAATTCTAATAACAATTTTCTTTTTTCTTGCTTCATTATTATTATGGATAACAGTTTTAACAATAAGTTCATATTTATTTATGAATGGTGGTAGTGCTATTATTTTTAATGCAGCTATAGCTTTTTCATTATTTGCTACATTTACAGCATCATATGGATTAGGTGTATCTTTTGCATTACATAATAATCATATTCATCCTCGAATACCTATTACATCTATAAAATACAATCAAATAGCGATGCCATTTGAATTATATCGGCATGTGTCAACATCATCATAAACAAAACAAAAAAGCATGAAAATGTTTAATTTCCAATGAATATTATGATTATATAACGATTGCTATTGTTTTTTCATCATCATATTTTCTTTTTTAAATAAAACTCATAAAATGAAATTACTCAGTTCATGAAGTTAGTTTGAAATTGAAATTCCGACAGATATAATAACATTAGACTGATGAAGATGATAATAATAATAAAAACTGTTAAAGTTACCATGACACAATTTATTCTTAGTTTCAAATGTTCATTAATTGATAGGTGAGTTTATTTGTCATAGGATCTAGAATCTTATTCTACTAAATAAGCAGTCAGTACTGTGATATACTATTCCAGACATATTTTATGTGATATTGATGAGTAATAACAGATCGAAGCGATCTACGAAGTAGAAATAAACTATGTATGCTTAATATAAGAGTAGATAGATCTTGAGAAGTTGATCAAAATTTATCAAAGACTCGAACGTTTCTCTAAATGCTTCATTCTGAGATATATGAAAGTGGCAAGTACCGAAAAATTTTTACATTTTGTTTTTTTTTCTTCACTTGGAGATCACGTTTTTCAAAAACAGTTGAAGAATGTGTAAATTTGAACGTTTTTCAGTAAAAAAGATCAGTTTTTTTGACTTTTATAATTATATACTACTTCTGCAAATATGCATAATAGATAAAAGATACTCGGAAATACATAGAGAGCAGATAAGAAACTAAGATGAAACATTCAAAAAAGTTTTGTCACGAAACGAGAGCTCTCCTTTACCTTTTTCTTCTAATAAATTGATGACTTCTCACTCTAACTTTCAAGTTTTTCGATCTGACAACAGAGTATGTTCGATCAGGCTTTCTTATAGGTGATTCGTCTTTTGTTTTTGTTTCAAAGCGTATGTTCAACTACATAATCTGAGAAGAATCGATTTTCGCGGTAACACTTTTATTATAAGATCACCATTTTTTACAGCTTTTTTTGTGCAAATAGAATTAGTCGACCAGTTCACTCTCATAAAAGTAAAAATTTTGGTATAGCCTTTCAATTATTACTTCAACATATCTGACAATTTCCTATGATTTGAATGTACCTAAAATAGAATTCTTTTTTTCCAATGAGCGAGTGCCTTCATCGTTCTTATTAAATAGTGTTATTTTTTGAATCTCCTAATTTGCCAAAGACAACTAAGAAATTTCCGATTCCTTTGATTATTTGTAACTTCATAATGTAGTTTACTGTCACTAAGTTATCCGAGCGATGAACACTATCATGTACTTGTAACAATTCTTTCTTTCATAGCTGCTGTTATTCGCTTGAAATTGTAGTCAGAAAAAGAAAGAATGATGAACACAGGTTAACAATCCAACATGTAACAAAATATAATTATGTTACTGTCAATTTTCCAATAAAGTATGTATTTAACTCTGATCTTCTTTAAACATGTTAAATCACCTAATAATTGTCTTATGTACAGAACTTTTTAAATATTCTGTTTTTTTTTTCAATAAAATCGGATTGATTTGTTAAAAATGAAAACAAAATAAATATATTGGATGGATAAAGAGATATTTATTTATTTATAATAGAGAAATTGAGTTCCATTGAAAAAAAAAAACTAAATACAACAACATGAATAATATTTCAATTAATTCAAAGAAAAGCTCATAGAAACATATTGAAAGAGAATGAAAAGTTTATTTAACAAAATGTTATTAATATTCGTCGAAATCAGTTTCCATTTCAGTCATCTGATTCATCTTCAACGATTATTTCAACTTGACCTAAAAATAAAAAAAAAAAAAAAAAAAATTAAATATGTAAAATAAAAAACAGAAGAAAAACTTCTCGTTCTCATTTTTTTTTTATTATTCATAAATCTCCTATTTCGAAAGAAAACTTAATAATGACCATTGTGATTCTAATAAAAGAAATACACAAAATAATAATACAACAAGAAAATTTGAACTCATTGATCTATTGGATTTACTCTACATTGACTATTCGTATAGATTTTTCATTTCTTTAATATTACCTGAAACAGTTGAAACATATGTTGTTAATTGTTCTGTTTCTGATTCTTCACTTGATTGATCACTTTTACCGTAATCAAATTTTGTTGGTTTTTCTTCTAATTGATCATCATTTAAAACTCCAGTAGATGTACTGGACCAATCAACTAATGATGATGTTTCTAATTCAGGTTGAACAGTTGATAATGTTTCTACTGTATCCAATTCAAGTTCAGTAGATGATGCTTCTGATGTGTTTGATTCAGTTGTTGTTGTTGATGTATGTGATTCAGATTCTTCTGATGATGATGACACTTCCACTGCATCGACTTCAGTTTCAGCAGATGATGTTGTTGTTGTTGTTGTTGTTTGTGATTCAGATTCAACAGACCATGATGTTGTTGTTGTTTGTGATTCAGATTCAACAGACCATGATGTTGTTGTTGTTTCTGATTCAGGTGCAATTGATGTGTGTGACTCAGATTCTTCAGATGATGATACTTCTGATGTAGTATCCGATTCAGTTTCAACAGATGATGAAACTGTTGATGTTTGTGATTCAGAGTCAACAAATGATGGCTGCGAAAAAAAAAACGAATTAAAGGAAAAGAAAAATATATGTAAATTTACTTCAGCATTTGTTGAGGTTTCCATTTCATTATTATTTTGAACAACATCATTGTTTGATGATGTTGATGATTCGACTTCGTTTTGAACATTATTAGGTGTAACTACTTCTGATTCTGGTTGCATATTTGATTCTGTAGATGTAGATGAATCATCATCTGAAATATGTTGATCATTGGTTTCATTTGATGATGATGTTGTTTCAAACATCGATGACATTGGTGATGATGTAAATAATAAATCATCAATTGTACTTGATGGAAGTGATACATCATCAGGATATTCAAGTTGATCTGGTGTTGTTAATTCAACAACATTGGGTTTAGTAAATGTTTGTTCATCAGGTACATAAGTTGATTCTTCATTGGACATTACCTAAAAATAATGAATTTTTTTTTTTTTTGTTTTCGAGAAAATATATAAAACGCAATTATTATAGAAATTCTTACTTGCATATTAATTCCATTTTCATGATCAATCAATAATGTACCAGTACTAAATTCATATTCCGATGTTGAAGTATCATATAGTTGTTCAATTGGTGCTGAATAAGAATATATTGTTAATAACAAAATAATAAATGAAATAACCAATGTTATAGAAGCCATTTTTGTATTCGATTAGAAAACGATTATTAGATAGTAGTCAACTTTTCTTATAACGATTTATTTGAACATGCACCTTATTTTATAGAGAAAATTAAACAAAGAAAGAAAGACAAAGAGATAGAAGAGAGAGAGAAAGAGAAACAAAGAAAGAGAGAAACAAAGAGAGAGAGAGAAAGAAAGAAAGAAAGAGATTATGTTATGAAAAGATAAAGACACGAACGAAGAATGTAATAATGATCAGACTAAACTGACTGACCATATATACGTTACGTAAAACTACGAGATAATCTTATTCATCATCGATTTTGTCTTTCCAGGCATTTAAATGTTTTAAACAGAGAAGATGATATAGATAGAATAGGTAATATAAAATACGAGGGCAATCGATCTTATTTGAATACGATCATCGTTAAGCAATTGTTATCAAATCTTAATATGAAAATTTTGTTCATATATGTCAATATACATTTGTGTTATTGGAAAAAGTTATTTAATACTTTTTTGAATCACGAATTACTATTTTGATTTTATTTTATTGTACAGTGGGATTAAGAAATATGCTAGTTGTACTATGATTTTTTGTGGTTTCAGTAAAAGATGGAGCCACATTCAAGTTTTCTTATGATAAACGATTAGAAAAAATATACATATATATGATAAAAGTAATAAGAATTGAAAGATATTAAAATATGAATTTCACTTGAACTCTACTAATAATAAAATTTTCATAATTCGTTGCTCAACAACTATGCAAGTAGAAAAAAGTCAATGGCTTATTGTATATGTTTACTTAAATCATTGTTAGAGACTCTCTTTATTAAAAAAAGAAGTGTGTGTATTGTATTGTTCGATTAACGACCTCTTGACATAACACTTTTTTTTTTCAATAATGGCCCATCTTGATTCAAGGTACTAGTCTTTAGTTTTTTTTGATTATTAATTCTATAGAATATTCGAATTTAGTACCTTGGCTAAATATAATTCGTTGGCTGATCCTCATTTACAATGTTATTTTAGTAATGAACGTATTCGATCTCATTTAAGACATGCTGGACTAGTATAAATTCAAGAAAAGATTTTTTTTTTTTGTTTTGTTTTTGAATATCTATAACAATAATAAAATAATTTAGATAAGTCGTCGTGGTGAAATTGTACCTGATAGTGAATATCGAGTAAAATTAGCTCGACGTGAACATAAAAAACATGTTCGACAAATGCTTGCTGAAAATATTGTTCATCGGTAAAGAAAATAAAAAAAAAATATTTTTACTAAAATTCTTGTTATTCTTATAATAATATATATAATATCAGAGCGATTGATATGGAACGAGCACGACAAGCTGAATTAAAACGTCAATTAGATATGGTATCAAAAGCGGCACTAGTACATAGTGTTAAAGTAAAAATGTTGATTTTTTAGTTTTCATCAACTTAGATGAAAAGGAAATTTTTTGTATAGGAATCAAGACGACGTGGTGGATATTCATCTGGAAATATGCCAAATTCTACTGATACAGGTTTATTATCAATGCATTCATCTTGGTCACAAAATCGACCTAAAAGTGCCAGTCATCATCGAGAACTTGAAACTGTAAACTCCCAAAAAAAAAAAGGAATTTTATTTTTATTTTAAAATGAAATATAGACGAATGAAGAATTTGATCGAATACCTCAACTTTCTCGTGTTCATTCAGCTCATGTTAGTGGTGATCGTCGTAAAAAATATTCATCAAAAAGTCCTAATCGTCATCGTCAACAACATCTTAATCGATCAAAACCATCATTTGCTTCACGATCATTACCATTAGTAAAATATTTATATATTAACAATATAATTTTTACTTTTTTTTGTTTGTTTTCTAAAAAAAACTAGCATCGTTCTCGTATATTAACAAAACCATTAGATTCTTCACTAACAATTCCTCCATGTCGAATAACAATGATTTATTATGGTCCACATACAAAACTTGAATATGATCATTCAATATTCGAACCAGTTGATGAAGTTATTGTTATGCAACAACATTGTGGAGGAGAAAATTTAATTGTTTATAAAAATCATCTTAAAGCTGGAGGTACAATTTTCACTTTTTTTTTTTGTTTAATATTTCTTATTTTATTAAATTAGATGAATTTACATTTAATTCACGTCGTCATTCCGATTATCCATTTGGTTTATCTTTATATATTCAAGGATTAATTGATAGTCGAATATCAACATGTTGTGAATATAAACATCGTCATGGTGTTCGATTAGGTGGAGAACGTGGTCATTTTGCTATTATATCAGTTGAAGGATCAAAACCTTGTATTAAGTATATTTTAAATAGAACAAAAAGAAATAAATAATGCATATATTGATTAATTTAAGATGTCGATTTGAAAAACAAACTCGATTTAAACAATATGATGATTCATCAAAAGATTTAAATGAAACAGTTGATAAAAAGAAAAAACCAATAACAATTTCTATACCAACTTCAGATCAAATTAAAACAAAACAAACACCTATTAAAATACCTGTTAGACATATTTCGAATACGAGTATGTTTTATATATATATAGATAAATTTAAATAATTAAATTTTATTTAGATGATAATTATGCAGAAGATTTTGATGAATCTGATGATACAGAAACATCAAAAAATGATTCTTCATCAGAATCAAATCAAGATAAAATAAAAACTGGAGCAACAACAACAACAGATGTAAGATTTCTTTCTTTTATATATATATATTAAAGTCAATCAAAATAATATTTTTATTCTTCAGTAATGACAATAGTCTAATGAATTACATGTACTCAATTCTCTAAAATTTTAAGATATTCAAAGTCGATTAAAAAATTTTTCTGATTTACTTCAAATAGATCATTTCAATTTTGATCAAAATGATTAACATTAATTCAATTAGAATTAATTAATAGATTTCATTTTTTATTTTTTGGATTTATCATTGAAATTTGTCCACAAAAGGTTTCATAGAAATTTGATAAGTTCAAAGAAGAGAATATATATATCGCTCATGAGAGAAACGTTCGAAATAATTCAACAATTCGCAACTTATATTTGAGACATAACGAAATATATTATAGACTAGAATGATCTCGAAAGGATTCAATTTCGTTGATTTTTTTCTGTAATATAAGAACAGTTTTACTAGATTTTTAAATTTTGACTTGAAACAAGTCTTAGCGAAAATAATTAATCGTACAAGTATCAAGCCATTGAATCTGTCCGTGTCTTAAAATAAAAACTATGAAAATATCTGAAACTTTAATTATGTTTGTTAAGTTTTTTCTTTTAGGCGAAGTTTCAAGTCGAAATTCTAAAATAAATTTTTCTGATGTTTTTACGGTGAGTCTACAATACCGTAAAAATACAATATATCGGCAGCAATAATCTATGAACACGTACTCTTTTCGAAATATTTATAATCACTTAGAATCTACATAATGTCTATTTTTTTTTTGACTCAAAAGTAATTAATCGATTGAAAGATTGCCGTCATGAGTCTTTTCAGGATTATTCTAGTCTAGAAATCTGTTCTATATATCCTACATATGATCTAAACAGTAATAAAACATTTTGAGTGATTTCATCTTCAGTTATTTGAATACATTATAGATAGTTCTCTCGAGAAATAATCTCAAATCTACAAGTAAATATGTTATCGAATTGGTAAATTATATGGCAGTAATCATCAATATCTTAATCAATATTCGCCAAGATAGACAATAGAAGTACTCAATTATAAAAAGTATTAGCTTTAAGGTATGCAGCATTAGTATTCATAAATATCGCTATTGCATTCCTATTTCACATCATGATCAAACATAGAATTTAATCTGATTTCTGCTTGTTTATTAATATGAAATAAGAAAATAAATTTCTATGATTCTATATGTTGAAAATTTTCTTAGATTCGTCCAACAGTAGCTCCATTAAAAAGTCCAACAGAAACTAGTTCAACATCACAAGAAGAATCTTCAACAAAAACATGGCAAATAATATTTCATACATCAAATAATTCAAATAGCAGTTTTCAATTACCAAAAAATTCGTCTGTTAATGTATTTTTGAAATTCTCATATATATCTGATAATGGAAAAGATGAAACTGAACAATATGAAATTAAAATGAAAGATTTTCCTCAATATTTTAAATCAGGTCGACAAGATTCATTTCGAACTAAATTTCGAAATATTGGTAAACCAAAACAAATTCGATTAATACTTGAACTAAGAGGAAATGATGATGATGATGATGATGATGATATTAAATGGCAACTTGATTATGTAAAAATGAAAAAAAAATAATAATAAACAATATTATTTTCTTCTTATATTTAGATCGAACTTATTGATCCAAAAATTCAATTACATTATAAATTTCCTTGTAATCAATGGATTCGTCCATTTCAAGAAAAAATTCTTAATCTTTTTGAATCATCTGAAAATAATATTAATCGTCGAACTTCAACAACTACAACTAGTTCAAAATCTTCATCTTCATCTTTAATACGTAAAAAATCTTCACCACAACCAACAACAAATATAGAAAAAGCAAAAACTTCTTCTCGTTCATCATCATCATCATTATCATCATCATATGAATTTCCAAAACGATATGAACAAATTCAAAAATCAACTATAAATCAAACACGTCGAATTTCAACAGATACTGAATCAATTAATGAAAAAACTAAAGTTCATTATCGTATTAATATTTATCCATCAAAAGATGATGATGGAGAATTTCTTCCTTCAATGGATAGTCAAATTTTTATACGTTTAAATAATCAAAAGAAAAAATCATTTCTAATAGAAAATGATACAACAGATTGTCCGGCTTTTGAACCAGGTGAAAATCAATCATTTGATATTGATTTAATACAAAATGAAAATGAACAACCAACTCATTTAAATATTGGATATTATAATCCAAATATAACTGCAGGAAAATGGAAACTTGATAAGGTTTTCGATAGTTTAATCTTTCGTTTTTTTTTTAAAATATAAACTAAATTTTTCTTTTAGATTGTTTTAACCAATACAGAAACAGGTCAAGAAACAATTTTTCCTTGCAAAGACTTACTTATTAGAGATGATCTTTATTTACGAGCGGAACAAATTTTTCAAGCTCAGTCAAAACAATCCGATAATGATGATAATGATGATGATGGACAAAGTAGGTTCTATCAAAGGTTTTGATTAATAAAAGTCAAAAAAAAAGAAATCTTTTCTGTAAACGTAACTAGCATTAATCGATGAATAACAATGATTTATGTATTAGTATTCATGTAGATCAATCACCTCATCTGATTTTATCTAAAAAAAAGAAAATAGTTCAATATGATGAAATTTTACCGAACTAACAATAAATATTCGATTTTTTTATGAGATTAATATTTTGTAGTCGAGTTTTTCTCTTAACGAAATAATAGAATATGTGTTAGAATTAAAAATCATGAGTCGATATTTTTTATAAAATTTTTTCTTTGAAAATTCTGCTAAATTTTTTAAATTTCTAGTTAATTCGATCAAGAGTTTCATCTATCATTTCTATAATTCTTATCTAAGTCATCAAACCTACTTACTTAGTAAAAACTTATTTCCAAAACGAACGAAATTTGTTATTTCAGTGAGAAAACTTAAAATTTCGATGTAATTTTGATTATAATATTTCGTCAAAATATAAATATTTTTAAGGTACACCTCGTAATAACAACATAGACAAAGATGAATCACCACGATCTGAAAGTGACGAAAGTATACAACAAAAACAAGTTCCATTGACAACATATAATAAAAGTCAATCTTCATCATCTGAATCACTTCCACTAGTGACAACAAAAACTAAAAATGATGAAAAATCTTCATCAATACATTCATCTCAAAGTCAAAATGATGATAAAGATGAAGATGAAGAAGATGATGAAGATAATGAATATAATAGAATGTTTAAAAAACAAAATTCTAATAATGAATCTGAATTTGACACATCACCATCTCGACCAAAAACTCGACGTGGTCTTCAAAACACTTCTGAAAAAGATACTAAACAAAATGGTGCAAGTAATGATTTACAAAAAAATACTAATATATGGAGACCATCAAGTGAACTTGATCAAAAAGAACCAGTTGATCCTCTTATTGGTTTAGATGATCTTCAAGATCAAACATCAAGATCAAATGATCAAAAAAATCAAAATATTTCTTCATTGATAACTAATAATCATACAGAGAATAAATCTACAAATCGACATTCTTCAACTAGTGATGATGATTAATTTAAAGACAATTTATTTTTCTGTTTTATAATATTCACATTCATTTTATTTTAACATATACACAGTGAATATGCTTTTCTTTCTTTCTTGTTTGATACTCGTATTTGTTTGCTTTTCTTCTTCTTCTTCTTCTTGTTTATCTGACAAATAAATTAATTTCAAAAAGCTAAAATTAAGCAAGACTATAATCAACTATGTATATATATATGAAATTAATGAAAAGTCATTGCAATTGATCAAATAACATCTAATAATGTTTGTTGTTGAGAAATTAATTTGACACATGTTTTTTCATCAATTAATGTTAACGACAAGTCTTTTTTCCCTTTCCATTTTATTCTAATTGTTAATATTACAATCGAGTCAGTCGACATACTCTTCCATGGCTTCATTATTTCTTGTTCCAATTTTCAAATTATGCCACGTTTTCTGGGGTATTACGCTTCGTCTATTCACCAATTAAATGAGTTTGATAATGAAACTTTTTATACTAATGCTAAAGAAGGGTTATTCTACTCAGGTTAAATTATTACTGTTGCCGCCAAAGTAAATTATTTAAAATATGTCTTGCCTTTGACGAGCATGAATTAAGAAAGTTGTCTTCTCAGGTATTGACAGTTTTGATTTTTAAGAATCTTGTTGCTCATTGTTGACCGTATTTAAATCTCAACAGAATTAACTGGTACAAGAAATTTATTAATACGCCAACTTGAACAAAAAATCGACAATTGTATACAAAATTCTATAAGTTCCTCTTACTTTTGATTTTAATATCAGATGAAAGCAATAAATTGTAGAAAATAATGCGTATTTATATAGATTTAAAGGGTGTGTGGGTGTGGGTGTGGGATTTGTCTTTCATCTTTTCCAAACACAACAATCACACTCACCCACACACTATACCCACACCCTCATCGAACAGATCGAATTATTACATCTCAAATTCAAAGCCAAAAAGAATTTATTACCATTTTGCAGAAAAGGAACAGTAACATGATTAAAAACAGTCAAAACAAAAATTCCATTCATTAGTTCAGTTCTCAATCGAACCATCCTTGAAACAAATGTTTACTATTTATTTTGAGCCTTATTTTGTTTTAATAAACTCTTCAGACGAGCTTTTAGTTCGTCTCCCATTTGAACACCCCAGAGAGAAAGTTCGGTGAGTGTCTATGTAAAAAAGTATCTATGGTCACATCACGTATATGAAGAGACAATAAGACTCACCGTGTTGTTTTGTAAAGCATCAATCAGATGTTGTGCTCCGACAATTCCGATTCGATTGCTTCCGAGATTTATTCTGATGAGTGTCTGTTTGAAAAAAGTGCAAGTGAGTATATGAAAGACATGAAGAGAGAATGAGGGTCACCGTATTCTCTCGTAAAGCATCAGCCACATGTTGCGATCCTTTGTCTCCGATTTGATTGTTCCAGAGACTTAGAGTAGTGAGTGTCTATGTGAAAAAGTGGATAAGATTAAATGAGATAGACGAAGAGAGAGTAAGAATCACTGTGTTCTTTCGTAAAGCATCAGCCAGATGTTGTGCTCCTTCGTCTTTGATTCTGTTGTCGGGGAGGCATAGTTCGGTGAGTGTCTGTGTGACCAAAAGGATATGGTCAAATGACATAATGAGAGAAAAATGAAGGTAACCGTATTCCTTCGTAAAGCATCAGCCAGATGTTGTGCTCCGTCGTCTCCGATGTGATTGCATCTGAGATCTAGTGTGGTGAGTGTCTGTGTGAAAAAGAGAATTTTGTTAAATCATATAGATGAAAGGAAAATGAAGGTCACCATATTGTTTTTTAAAGCATTAGCGAGATATTGTACTCCTTCATCTTCGATTCGATTGTATGCGAGTAGTAGTGTGGTAAGTGCCTGTATGAAAAAATGGAGATAAGTAGATGAAGAGAGAATGACAGTCACCGTTTTATTTTGTAAAACATCAGCCAGATGTTGCGCTCCAACAACTTCGATTTTATTGCCGGAGAGACATAGCTCGGTAAGTGTCTGTATACAAAAGTAGAGTTGGATGTATGAGATAGATGAAAAGAGCATGCATGTCACTGTGTTGTTTTGTAAAGCATCAGCCAAATGTTGTCCTCCGACAGCTCCGATTTGATTGTATAGAAGATTTAGTTTGGTGAGTGTCTGCTTGAAAAAGTGAACATGATTAAATGAATATAGATGAGAAAATGAAGATCACCGTGTTCTTTCGTAAAGCATCAGCTAGATATTGTGCTCCTTTATCTTTGATTTGATTGTGACAGAGAGATAATAAAGTGAATGTCTGCGTGAAAACGTGAATACGGTTAAATGATATAGATGAAGAGAGAATGAAAGTCACCATGTTGTTTCGTAAAGCATCAGCCAGATGTTGTGCTTCGACATCTCCGATGTTTTTTTCGAAGAGAAATAGTTTGGTGGGCGTCTGTACAGAAGTAAAGAGGTAAGTATATAGGATAGATGAATAGACAATAATGTTCACCGTAGCATGTTCTAAGCAAAACTAGAATATGAAAGATTTTTTTCGTTTTTTTGTCTTTGGATACAACAAAAAAGTGCAGAATGTTGTACTGTCTAGATAATCTCTTATGTGGTTGGGTATTAAATTATTAAGAGAACGTAAAAAAAATTGAAAGAAAATTGTTTCCATTGTAAAAAGAGGATAAGAAAGTGGTCATTTATGGATGGATAGGTAGGCGAGATGAGAAAATTTAAAAAGGTTACATATACTGGGATATTGGAGAAAGATCATTGTTCACGTATCGACTAATTTAAGGATACTAGTTTATTTTTCCATGCGTTGCGCTGGATGTTGTTTTTTGTATCGTAGGAATTATGTTGTCGTTCTGTGACATACTCGAAAGTGTTCATGAAAAGTGTCTCATAATAATGAAAGTTGAATCGAGTTTGTCATGTTTTCTAGTAAGGTAGATCTGATATGGGATAGAGCAGTAATTAATAATGTATCGAATAGTTCGTCTGTACAATTAGAAATATAAAATTCCTATAAGTAGCAGTGGATTAGTCCACTAAAAGAAGTTCTCATAGGTAAATGAATCACTAAACATCAATGAAGGATATCAATTCGTCCTAAACAGACATTTCTTAAGAGTTCAAAAAATTACAACAGAATTTTGACTGTTTCATCATTAATAGTATAAGATAAACAACATCAACAAAGTCTAAAGTACTCTTGTTTATTTTGTAATTCTAGTGGAGAGTATTAAAGTATTGATAGATTTATAGCAGAATTTTGTTGGCATTAACAGAATATAAGCTTTCAATAAGTATACTACCTAGGCAAATGAAAAATTAAGAAATAGTCATTAAGATGCATTATTTTTCATTACGTGACTGTTAAAATCCATCTCGATTTGTATAGACACCGTTTTGATCATTTTAAGAGTCTCTACGGCTATATTCTTCCAAGCTTTATGATGGCTTAAACATGTTTAGAGTTTCCAAATATTATAAATTTATTATTCATTGCTTAAGGATGAAGGAGAGGATGTGAATTGAGATAAGATCAACACCCGTACTCACACTCAGCATTTTGGAAAAATATGTTTATATATATTCAACAGAAATCTTATGATTATAACTGTGAGCATTTCTTCCTTTTGATTTTCATTGAAAACTCGATCGTCTCTCAGAAAATGATCCTGTGAGTATTCAACGAATTCGAATCGAACAATAATATTTAATTATCTTTTTAATGGACTTAAATTGAAATAAGATTAAAATTTCATTTGAATTTGATGTTTCTAACTATTTCAACAAAAGAAAACGATAGATTAGTAAATTTTGCTGTAAACGCATTCTTCAATGTTTCAATTTACAGTTTTAATGGCAATACTTGAAGCTATCGTTTGAAATTAAAGAAGATTCAAAGTGTGTCAAAATCCTAGAAGGTTATGATCAGTGCATTAGTCCTTACTATGTTTTGAGATCTCGAGTCTTTTCTGAAGGAAGAACAATAATTCTCTCATAATTGTTGAGTTATTAAATGAAAACAAAATACTATTTTCTATGCAGGTTTTTTATGTATTTTATATATGATTCAGTAGAATTCAATAAGTTCTAGAAGTATATGAATATCAACAAAGAATTTCGATCTCATTGCAACATAAAACTAGGAGAAATTATAAAGGCTAATGAAAATCTAGCACATCTCGAGTTATAGAGAGTATATTTAACTTACAATTGTTAGAATGAACTAAGTACTTTGACTGTTCATAAAGATCACAGAGGCTCTTCAAATATCGATTGATAAAAGCTCATCTTGAAGAACAGAATTTTAGATTACACGGCTGTTAAATATTCCTTTTTTTGATTTTGCAACAAGATAGTTCATTAGAACGATGTTTTCACTTGATTCAATACCCTACTAATAAGCTCATGCACTGTACAACAGTATGATATTATATCGAGCTAGTTTTTACCGAAAATAGAAGATTTTAAAAAAAAGTTTCCGTAAAAAACCCAACATACCTCAGAATGATTGTGAGTGGTTGAAAAAGCATTTTCAAAGCTTTTCTTATTTGACTAAAAAATCTTAAAAGGTTCGGATTTCGTTACAAAAATCGAAACCTTTCTAGGTTTCGTAAAAACTACTTTAGGTTTTGTAGCAATCCAAGTGGTTTAGTATCGTACCATTTTTTTTACAGTGGGATAAAGATTATTTTTGAACACACAGGACACTTTTAAATGAACTGAATTAGATGCCTTACAAAACATGAGATTCATTGTTTGTTGATATTGTTAAATATCTATAATTCAGCTCGGTTTAGAGTATCTGTTTAAACCTAATAACGCTTTGACCACTGTATATCTGAGTAGTCCAACAATTTACATATTGAGGTCTAGTTCTGCCTAGAGAATATTTAGATAGCATTTTCAACCGTCATAGACAGGTTAATTTATTCACTGCAAATACTAAGAGTTAATCCTGCTCTGTATGATACATGATACGCTAGATTTTTATTAGTCTTTTCGATTTTTTCAAGTTCCATCTTTAAAATGGAATGATAGCTTTTTTGTTTTGATATTTGCACTCTCGTATACATTGTTGAACTCCATCGATTCGATTAATAAATATCTAGGAAACGCCAATAGAAATTGATATTTCGTTCGAACCTGACAAGTATGCTGATATAATTGATAGAGTTCTGCACAAATAAATTTTTCTGTGTTTTTTAGAAAATCCACTTGTCCTATTTTCTAAATACGCCAAAGTATGTTCATATAGTTAATTTTTTTCTTTTGAATAACGATATTTGTATGCAGTAGATAAAAAACAGAAAGTGTCTATTAACAAAATGATGCGAACTCGTTCGTTTTTCACTACATTTTAGAGTATGATAACGATCAGCTTTTCTTTAATTATTATCGAAATTATGATTACTAAGGTTATCTTAACAAAACATTAAAAGTATGTTCTTTTGAAATTTTGCTTTTCTTATTTGTGTGACCAAACAGCAACTGTTAATTCTTGTCTGAATTACAGCTATTGCAAACAGTATGAACTAAACTACGTTTTATATTTTCCATGTGTAGAAGCATTCATGTCTTTTTCAACTTTTATGTGATTTTTCTTTTATTACCTTGTAACTTAGCCGATTCTATTGCCAGATATGGACACGCTCAAAGTATGAAAGAAAGTATTGCAAATTGATAATATCGATGATAAGGAAATTTAATTTTGATATATCCTACCATGACAGACATCACATCTTAAAACATTGTAGTGCTGTAGAAAAATTTTATTAAACGATCATAGTGTTTTTCAAATTTAAAACTGTGAAATATCACTAGAGATTCTAAACGTCAAACGAAAATTCAGAAAAATTTGCTCCCTTAGGATTCTAGCAGATGTAGATGTACGTTTTCATCTCTCTGCCTGCGTTGATCCTCAAACCCTCATCTTACATGCGAACCCTCCTATATAAATACTCGTATCCACACCGAGATAAAATAGAGAAAGAAAAAGAAATATAAAAATGGTGACGGACCTCTTCAATGCAGTGTTTCGCATCACATCCATAAAAATAGAGAGAAAGAAATAAAGAAGGGCCGGAATGTACTCGTATAAAATGCTTCGCTTCTTTAAAAAAAGGTAAACTCGCGCATAGTAACGTTAATAATATGCCGCACACTACGTGAAGTCTCAAAAATGAATCGATATTTCTTTTTGTTGAAATTGAAAGTGGCAAAAATTAAATAATTCATTGAAATGAGATGAAGAAAGAAAATTTGATCCATCCTAGCGATGCATTTATAAACTATGTATAATTAACATCGAATCCGAAGGATAACATTACAATATAAGTATAGAATTGAATTTATTCAGTAATATTTCATATCTTTTGATTATTCTCATTGATCGCATTAGTTCTAAAGTTCATCTTTTCAATTATTCACATATATAATTTGAATGAATCTTTAAGTATAGATCAACTTGGTTTTCTGTTACATAAATGATTGCGAAAGATCAATAGACTAGTATGACACTTCTGTGAAATAGATCTTCTAATGAAAGATTACATTTTTCTAGTAATATTCCTCAACAGTAAGATAATGTCCTCAGATATCAATAAATCAGATAATATCGTTTCTTCACTAAAATGCTCCCTTGAAGATGAGAGAAACATTAATCTACGAAAAACATCAAAAATTACCGCATATCGAGGATAGGTATCAGTAATCATGTTGAGTCTGTTGCAAACAATGCGGACTAAACATAAAATTGTGAAGTCGTCAAGATGGTCCAGTATGCGGTACACAAGATCAACAGGTATAGTCAAAATTGAGCAAGGAACCTGATAGGCCATAAAAGTTGAATATCTTTCGACTATTGCGCGGTTTTGAAATGAATGATTACTGAAATTTTTTGCATTCTTATCAATATCTATAAAGAAAATAAATAACCGACTGTCGTTACCATTTCGTAAGTTTTTCTCAACGAAGAGAACAGAAAAATTCTTTCATATACGTCGTGAATTGAGGCAACAAAGAAAACAGAGATCGCATGTAGAAGATTGGGTGTGAATGTTGTTACAGGCATGTTGTTCACATACCTTCACATCGCTTCAGCTGTTACTGTTCATTTTCTCTCTGTTCGTCCTTGGCATTCGTTTCTTGTCTCTGTTCTGTTTTCGTTCTCTTTGTTTACATTCTTTGATTCTTTTTTTCCCTCATCGCGATACTTTCTATCTTGGGTCATCATTCGAAATAAAACCGAACTAAGAGAAAGAAGCACAGGGACTTCTAATAAGTGTGCAAAAGAATAAAATTATGAGAGACACCGATAGTAACAACAAGGTCATATCCATACCAACTCAAAATACTCAGGGTGTACTATTTGTCACGACACACTACTTGAGAGTGTGGGTATGTTTTTATTGTATCTCTTCATCTGCACGCACACGCACACGCACACCCACACCCACACCCACGCTTATTCTTTTTCATCTTTTTTACTCATGGTTTTTGTTTTTAATTTAATCTTCTTATTATTACAATCATTACGTTGTTTCGCAAAAGCCTATTTTACATATTCATAATATCTACAAAAAATTTCACGCACTCTTATATACGTTAATCTATTCACAAGCAATCTTGTTGACTATTTTTTTAAAATAAAACTGGAACTGTTTTGAAAAAAAAACTCTAAACATTTTGACGTCTGTCATTATCAATTGCGATGGTCTGCAATTCGGACTTGTCTGTTATGCGAATCTGCGTTCCTAAGTGTTAGTAACGAAGAAACAGAGAGAACGGAGCCGAAAAATCTTGCTCGTAAACTTATATTCTCCATTTTCTTCAAGAATATATGTCAGCTCCACAAAATACAAGCATGCAATCATTCGATTCAAATGATTTCATTAAAAAAAAATTGAAATTATTTTTATTTCATTCATAGATTTCAGTTGTGTTCATGACAAAAAACAATATATTCCGAAAAAGTGTAAGGTTTCACTGCTGCTGTTGAAAGGTACTGATCGAAAAAAAATCATTTTTTTTTGTTTCTAACTGAGCTGTACGTTTTATGAAGACCAGGGGTAGTCACTTGATAAATGACGCAGCAATTCGTTTCTGCTTGTTCAAAATGCACCTAATTATGCATCGAATGAAACAAAATCAATGTTGCACTTTTATTTTTGTTGCTGTTACAATTCTACGGTCTGCTTACTAAGATAGCCGTTGCTATGAAACATGTTTCTTCGGGTTTCACTGTATAATTAAAGAAAAATAATAAAGGTACTTTTTTGTTTTTGATAAAAAACAGTATAAAAGCTCCTCTTTCACCTAGAAGAACTCTCGACATCAATCTGAGATTGAAAATGACTAGTGCTTTTCTTCTCTTTCTGCTTTACATACCAGTGATTTATGGTACAGCCAGTAATTCCCTGTCTGATTGCAATGCAGTAGCTGCCAAGTTTGACACAACATGTGGTGGAATAGCTGCTTCATCAGTTACAGCTATGACAGGAGTAAATGTAACTTGTAGCTCAGGTTTTACGAGTACGACATGTCCTGGTACCTATTCTGGTAGTGTATGCGTTTTTTCACATAAACTCTGTGTTACATGTTCTGGAAGTTCACCAGTCACTATTCGTGTTCAGTCCAACGGATTACCACGATATTGTCCGAACGTTCCTGTTACTCTCGTCGGTACGACTATTGATTTTACTGTTAATTTCAATCCGGATGTGAATATTAATTCCCCAGTACATAATCCATCATCAGCATCAGCATTGTATGGGATCGTTTGCAACATTAGCAGCCAAATGACTGTCCCATCTGTATCAAATTTTGTTTTGAATTCAGGTTCAGCATCAGTATCAACACTTGCTGGTGTCAGCATTGATGGAGTATCCATCGAAAATGTCAATAGTGCAAATAATGTGGATCCTTTTTATCCACCAGATGTTACGTTAACTGAAAGGGTAGATGCATGTTTAGGACATCCAAACTTTCAGAGTGTGTACCATTATCATATGGCATCAGGATGCGCAGTGAATCGACCTTCGGGTAGTATTTCTTCGTGTACTGGTACAACTGCCTGTAATACAAATGTTTCTAATTATGGGATTTCATTATTCAATAACAACCGCAACCTAACAGTGATTGGAGTTGCCAAAGATGGACATGTAATCTACGGACCATATTATTCGTCAGGCTCTGAGGTAAATGACATGTCTTTGTTTTTACAATAGCTGCATCTCGATCAAAGTAATGGATGAACAACCAATATGGAGAGCTGTGGGTCCTCCCGGATTCACACCCAGTTGGAAATAGGATCCAGCCGAATTTGTGCTCGGATCCAAAGTTTTATTTTTTACGTCGTATATGAGTCTGGCGGTGTCTATAGTTTTATTTGTTTTTCAGAACTGCGTTCGGTCCAATTACAGTTGGATGTTGAACTTACTGCTCTTTCGATGAGAAATACAGCAACGAGATGTTACTTTACGGTGGAGTTTTTGTCATTCAGTAGGGAATAAATAGCTAAAATGTTGATCCTTGACTAGCTCATGTACACAGGATGTATCAAACTTTGAAGGTAAAAACTTCGGGTTTGGATCTAGACGCCGTCTAGTTTGGGTTGGAACAAGGTCCAATTATTCTAATTTTCTTCAGCTATGAGTAGGGTACAGGTTCAAAGTTTGGTCCGCGTCCCAACACGTAAAAACGCAATTATTTGAACAGTTCCATGTAGCAGTAATAGTCAGGAAAAAATTAAAACATCTATATATCAATTTAGGTAACAACAGGTTTCGATATCTGCAATGGTGTGTTTTATGATACAATTGGCAATTATGCTTATTTCGCAACACGAACATTTCCATACATTACTGGATGCTTTGGACCCGGAAATTATCCTAACTTTTTTCCGAACTGCACGACTAACTCACCGTCCGCTTATGCTCAGTTGACTTTTAGCACTGCTACAACGACAACAACCACTACTACTACAACAAAAACGACCACAAGCGCTACGACTGCTATTACTAGCGCCACGACAATCACTGTCGCCGCAAAAAATAGCGGTGGAAGTTTATTTGCAATCTGGGCAAGACTGAGTCAGCTTCTGCATGTTTTTGGTTCTACTCTCATTATGCAAGTAATAGCAACTCAACTTCTTGGACACTGATCAAAAATTGACATGTTTTAAGAATCCTTTGAACACTTTCATCCATGTTTTTTTTACGTTGTTGAGTCTTCGTTTTTTACCAAACCCATCATACATTCTACAGATTCATTCCCTCTTATATTATTTTTTTTTCAATAAACAAATCTCTAGTTTCAAGTAAATTTCGGACGATTCTGCAACAGTCAGCTATACTCTCGAGCGCAGTATCTTTTTTCGCTAGTTCCATGTTTCATCTCTTTATGTAACGAGTCGTGTGATCCTTTTCTCATTATTTTGAACTTTTAAGCTAATAACTGTAAAACTTGAAAATCTATTGTTTCTCATTCAGGATAGTTTTTAAATAATACAAGAACGCATTTACTTGCTTCTTTAGTGGTTCTTAAGTTTTTCTCTATTATTTGAGTGAACTCATGGGAACATGACATCTCTGGATGAATCTCAATATTGTTCTGATTTCTCCAGTTCTATAGAGTTGTTAATCATTTCAATGATCTTCGATTCAAATGAAAGTAAGTTAAATAAATCATTGTATAGAATAGGAAATACGTAATAACGATCATATATACATACAGTCATGTGTGAAATCCAGTAAACAAGATCTTGCAGCACGATACAGTGTTTTGAACTATCAAAAAAGAATGATCTGTAACCAAAATCAATGGAATATCATTAGTATACTTCTTTCATGGATAAATACTTTAATCTGCATCAATACATCTATATTACTTTGAGTTATACGATTTAATCGAAAGAATTATTTAAATGTAAAATAATAAAAAGTTTAAAAACCAAATTGTGAAGAAGAAGCAAGAAAGAAAATACAGAAATACTATCTATCATTCGAGCAGCACACATATTACACTGATTTCGAGTTCATCCAAAAGTTCCAGTGTAATAAAATGCGATAGTCTGGTTTCTCGACTTTGTCGTAATGCTCACGTGTACGATAACCTTGCGCATATTGACATTTGACACAAAAACATTTCTCATTTGGATAAATACTGCCGAAGAGTTGATCCCATATTTTGAAAAAGAAGCCAGTATGGTAAGGTTTATTTCTAGTAGAGACAGCATGATGTAAGTAGTGCTGGAAAGAAGTATTGAGCACAGGATGATGAGCATCTGGATATGAAAATTCATGACCCCAATGAAGATAAACACCATAACCGTAAAAAAAGATAGCAAACTAAAGGAGAAAAATCTACTGATATTATATCGTCGAATCATGTTATCAACATCTGATTGAAATATGAAACCATTAATCTTTAGTCACTGACAGTGTTTGAAGATCTTATCGTAATGATCTCATTATTTTTACACATTACATCAGTCTTGTTTGTTATTCAAAATGCTAGAGAGAATCTTCAAAGAAAATCAGAAAAAATTAGCCTTGAAGAAATCATATCAGAATACTACATTCACTTTTGTCTGTTTCTTAAAAAGATCAGTTCTAATTTGTTTTACTTATTTACTTACCTGAAAGAATAGTAGATCCATATTAATTGGAATCAATGCTGGTATCAAGACTAATGGTGATGCTCCAACAAGCTGATCAATATAATCTTCTGCTATGACAGAAAATGGTGTTGGATTAAGAAATTGATGGTGAGATTTATGTATATTCCAGAACATATCAATAGTGTGTCCCATTCGATGATACAAAAACTCAAAAAAGTCTGTTGATAACCAAGCAATAAAAAAACTAACCACCAAATATTCCCAGCCATATTCGCCAACACCACAGTAACCTTTGAGCTGGTTTTTGCTCATTAAATATAACGTTAACGCTGGACAAAATGTACCTGCTAGAATACCTTTCACCATCAAAATTATTTCCATACGAACACTATTTGGAGATGGATACTTTGGATTTGATTTCTGTAGCCACTTTTCATAGGTGACTTTTACATAAGAATAATAGAAAATGGCACTTGATAGAAGCATTAAAACACTGAAAGCAATTATACTGAGTATAAACCATGTCAATAAGAAATTATTACCAAACCAATGACTAATTTCGCACAGCATGCTGCTGCTAGAAGAACAACAATACAAAATAGACAGTCAACGTCTTTTTTACCTACTTATCACAGCAATGGTGATAAGAAAACGTGATATGTTGTTATTCTAAAGAAATAAGTCTACAAAGAATCATTTTCTATAAACTATTAAACTTAGTATATTCAGAGCATAAAAATCTAGTGATTTAGCGACTAAATGAGAATAATGATTTTTGAGATGAGTCTAACAAATTGATTTTTGATTGATAAACTCGAAGTGATCGTATATATGAACTAATTAAACAGTTTTGTAACCAAAGAACTTGATATGAAAAATGCTCACCTATAAAATTTGATTGCTACTTACATTTTTCTTGATAATTTCTCAAACTAAATACACTCTTATACACTTCGATCATGTATGGGCAGTTGCTTGCGTCAGTTACGGTTAGCATCAATAATTTCTCGTTCGTCTATTGTCCAACCATTCAAAAACCAGCATGTGTCCGCTTTAGATGATAATTTAAAAGAAATAAATAGATGACTCCATATGCCAGACAAATTTCAAAAAAAGCATATTTCATGAAAACTGGTTAAATATACTCAGTCATAACGATTTCAATCTCCGTTTCTTGAGACACAACTGAATCAAGTACCTAACCGATACTAAAAGTTGAATCTTTCTATATATATAGACATATGTCACAAGAAAAAAAACTTGTTACTTTCTGACGATGAAGGTTATGTCTGTATAAGTGAAATAGATAGAATGAAGAGAAGATCTATTCGTGTACCTTAAAAATAGTTCAATCATTCTCATCTACTGATGTATATTATAGTAAATATTAAACAAGTCAATTAATTTCGTTTTGAGTGAATGGATGTCGATGCGGATTTTCGCTTTACAAATATTCTCCTCATCGATTTCAATTTGTCAGCTTTTGCAAACTCAAATGAAAATGAAATGATTCAGTGAACATTCGGAAGTTCTGCAGTATTTTGTAACATATTCCCTTCAATTAATATTAAAGTCAAAAACGGAACTTAACTGAAGTTTTTCTTAGAAAATTGCTTTTCTAGCTAAATTTTATAAGTACCAGAAAGAATGAATGACTTGATAAGGCGAGGATCAATCGAACAAGAAATATTTATTAAGTCTCGTTTTGAAATCGATTCGAAATTACGAACCTTTCTTTTATACCTATTAACAGTTTTCCTTAATCTTTGACATGTATATCGAAATGAAAATAGTAATACAGATTGGCCGACATACATATTTTTGGAATATAATGAATGCAATATGACAAATAGTACTAGAGAAGACCAAAAAAAAAAGAAAATGTTAGTATAATAATAGATACAACAACATGAAAAACGAATACTTATTTACACCTTGCACACTTACATCCATCCAAGCAGTTTCTTCGAAAATTTAAAAAGAAATCATGCCTATACTATGATTCGATCATATAAAGGTGACCCCTATCGATGCGCGTAACTGCTATCGACCCTTTACATTCAAGTAATAGACTTTTAAAATGTATTCAAAAGTTCAGAAAAATCGACAGATATATGAATATCTTCGAATAAACAATGTTGATTCTAGATAAATTTTTGAAACCATTCAAATCTCTTACTAGAAATGTTACTTATTAGAATTGTGCAATACTTACACAGTGGAGAATTGAGCAATACTGCGTGTATAAGAGATTTAGTTTCTTTCTGAATAAGAATTGCATTTTGTTTGTTATTGTGTATACGCATTTCATCAATTGAATACGAAACCATTTCGGTCAAGTTTAAAAGACCAATATCAAATATTTTCGAAGCATTGTTCAGCATTGAAGTTTCATCTTACTCAAACTTCTCGTTGATGGCAAAATATCAGGTGTGATTTGAATTTTTTTTTTCTTTCAGCTTCCATGATTTTCAAGTTTTCATAGGCTGTACGTTTTACTGTTTTAATGTAATCACCTCTTTCTGTTACCAATAGCTCGCTCATGTCTCTGTAATATGATAAAAGAAATACATTTTGAGAAATATCTTGTCTGGTAGATGGAGATTATCTATTATACTCTGTGAAACTAATTCTAAGACATTTTAGCTGTTGTATGTATTATAATAAATTTGGAAAACTTTTGTGAAAAATTGAGTACATATTGAGTTATATAAATAGAAAAAAAATTCTATGATTGTTTGAGAGGATGACTTGGATGCAACATGTCTCAGTTTCAATATCAGCTTCTTATGCTATATCTCTTATAGACAATATTGGCTAAATAATTGAATTCTCAATGGAAAAAGTAATATGTTAGATAGAATTTGAAACAACTCAATTTTTCACAATGAACACAGCGCTTCGGAAGACAAACATTAACCTCACCCATTTCTTCATGTTGCAGTTTTCAACATAGACTCAATTCGAAAGTCCTAACTTCGTTGTAATGTTTCCATACTTATGAAGTATATCGACTTCGAATTTTTTATATTGTCTAAGCTTTGTAAAAATCTGAATATAGAATCAGAAGACATTAAAGTAGTGATGATGTTCTATTAGGAAATGACAGACGAATATTTTGACACTCATAGTCGATAATAATGCAGAGATCTCTTTCGATGAACCAACAACTCATATAATTAGTAATTGGAGATCTCATTTTTATACGATCATTTTTCTAGGCTGCAGAACAAGGATTACATATGGATGATTCTCGATTTGGTTTCATTATTATGGATACGAATGAAGCTTTGTTTGGCGTATTACATGGCAATGTTCGAGATATAACTATGAAATTTTCAGTTAATTTACCAAAAAAGCGTAGACACGGTGGTGCAAGCTCAATTCGATTTGCCCGACTTCGAATAGAAAAACGACGAAACTACATACGAAAAGTATCTGAAACGGCTGTACAATGCTTCATTACTGATGATAAAGTAAATGTTGATGGAATCATACTCGCAAATGTAGCCGACTTCAATAGTGAACTTCATCAAACTGATGTGTTTGATCCCGTTAGTTGTATTTTTTCTTTTACAATTCTTACTAACATTGAGATGTATGTTTCAAGCGTATTCAAGCAAAAATTCTCCAGCAAGTCACTATTATCTATGGTGGTGAGATTGGTTTCAATCAAGCGATCGAATTAGCTAGTGAAACGCTTGGAAACATCAAGTTTATACAAGAGAAAAAAATTCTTTGTAAGTTTTATTCTGTATTAGGTTGAATCTCAATATTAAAAAAAATCCTTTTGTAGCTCAGTATTTTGATGAAGTATGTAAAGATTCCGGTCAATATTGCTGCGGTCTAGAAGATACACTGAAAAAACTGGAAATAGGTGATATAGAAACGTTGATCATTTGGGAAAATTTCGATGTAACGCGTTATATTTTACGTAATAATCAAACAGAAGAAATGAAAACTCTCTATTTACGGTCTAATCAAGAAAAGGAAAAATCTTATTTTCAAGATAAGGATACAGGCATGGAACTGGAGCAAATCGAACAAATACGATTAGTAGATTGGTTTGTCAATAATTACAAAAAATTTGGTAAGAGAAAATTAACCATTGAAATATCTTTCTTTTCATTAAAATATTCTTTTGATGAGGTATCAAACTCGAAATCGTAACAGACAAGAGTCAAGAAGGTTCTCAGTTTGTACATGGTTTTGATGGTATTGGAAGTTTGTTATTATTCGATATGGTTTTCTTTTTCACTTGTTATTCATGCATCTCATAGGTATTCTCAATCACAAAATAGATAAAAGAGTTTCAACTGATGAAAAAATCCTGGAACAGTTTAACTTTAGTGAGTAGCAAGAACAAAGAAAATCATTTTCTTTTCATGTTTGTTTTAGATGATGACAGTTATGGATTCTTCCTCGATTAATCTAAATTTTTCCTTCATTTTCTACTACATTCCATTTGTACTTTTCTTTAAATGGTTTCGATACTTTGATTTCTTCTATTCTAAATATATTATTACTGCCTTGATTTTTTCTTACTCATGAACATAGTAGGATAAGAAAAACGAGAGTGTGGATGTGGATGTTGTGGTTTAAGAGGAGAAACACACTTACATTCTCGCTTCATATCGATCGCCTAAAGACTTGAGTGTATGAACAGAGTATGAGTGTGTCTACAGATGTGTCTCACTGGTATATTCACACTTTTTTCTAACAAAAAACAAATGTAAAGAGCGCCTTAGCATCCGCAAACGATAGAGGAAAACGTTTGTTCGCTCACGGAAACAAAAATAGAATGCTTTATCATCAAATAAAAGTGTACTGTAATTTTTATTGGTCATGGAAAGTTCTAATGATGCAAAAATAGCGAATAAACTTTGTTGTTTACAAGATTATCAGTATAGAGACTGTAATGTTTCTCTGAGTATAGTTGAGAAGATAAAAGCTTACGGTTAAGTTCAGGCATTCAGTGATTTGTACTGCATTGATAAGTTTTGACACCAAACCAAAAATATCTGTGTATTTGTTTGTGATCATTTTTTGCCACAAAGAAAGAAAAGACTTGTTTGTACAGAGTTTTTCATGATAATATTTTCATTTATATTAACAGAAGTCGAAATACAAAGATGAATATGCCTGATTTTATTTTCGTCGAACAGTCGAAAGAAAAGTACGTGTGGATATACGCGTTTTACCACGAGATATTCTTCATTCGACTAGTCGTGCAATTTTTTGATAAAGTCTCGATACAAAGTAATATAAAAAGTGATGAAAAAGAAATATTGTTCGCAAGAGTCGAGTTTTTCGAAAAAATCTTGAAAGATTACAACTAATTCGAACTCAAACATGAAGATGCAACTCATCAGATATAGTATCTTTGACGTCTATCATACATTTGTTGCATATCATTCAGTAATCTAGACCTACTCTTACATTAGTTATTTGGCATAATAGAACTGGAAATGAGAATCGGAATTTGGAAGAAAAACATGTAGAAGAAGCAATGTATCTATAAACTATAGTCTCACTGCTCAATAAAAAATAAAAAATTCTAATGAAACCTATCATATCATGTTAATCCTCTTTGTATTTGCATTAAAAAAATAACATTTTCTGATTCATTCCACACTTTTTTCATCTTCTATGTGAGTAAGTCTGTATTTCGTTCTCTCTTTCAATTGTTTCACAATCATGTGCTCTTTGCGATGTTGTCATATATCGTGTATATGGCAATGTGTGACATCCCTTTTCTATTACTGAACCATAGTAAGAAATCTGCTCAAACCCATCATCTTATTGAAAGACGAGACGTATGTATGAACTGTTCCTAGCTGCTTGGACACTTGTTACTATTGCCAGCTTTCTCTACTCAGACTTTACATAATATGTTATCGAATCACTTCTCGATCCAGGCGTTGGCCGTTTATTCGTCTTTGGTTCAGTTTGCATTCTTGTGGTTGCTGCTCCTGTAAATCAACGAATATATTGTGTTGTCAATGTTTCAAAGTTATTCACATTATAGGAGCGCCACAAGATTTCTGATGAAGCTATCGTGTTGGGTGCTTTTTTGATCATCCTGTTTGCTATACTGATCGCTTCTCTCTTCGTGAGCATCTTACAATATGTGATAGGAAAGTCTTTTATATGGCACTCTCAAGGCATATTTCACCCATTGTAATTGTGATCGTTCAATGTAAAGAAGTAGGGACTCGATGAATAAAGATTCTCCTATGTCCAAAGAGAGGATTTCGTCTTGGAGTGTTCAATCGGAAATATTTATTCAAGATCGAATTTTAAAGTCATAAGTATTGTTCGTAACCATGAGTGAAGTTAGATCGATGTATCAATTGGAATATTGTAAGATTTGTCTGCTGACTCAACTTTGACGTTGTTACAACCATGCGATAGAGCGAACATAAAACTCCGCTGACAACCAAGACCATGTCATCAATTCATAACACGTCTTGCGTTTCATTACTAGAGAATCAATGAAGATGTGAAAATATGTGAGTTATTGAACAAGTGATCGACATACACCCATATTCAAGTGATGTTAATGTGCTTAAAATGAAGTTAATAGTGATAAATTCTGTAGTGGTCAATTCGCAGATAGTCGATGCAATAGATTTTACTGTCCATTGTTCAACTTGTTCTATCTGTATTGCTAGCACAAGTCTGAAAATATTCAAAAGTACTTTTCATTTAAAAATTTGACTTCTGCATTGGTCATTTTATCAGTAGTGGTTATCTTAGATTAAGGATTCAAAAAAGTGAATTGAAAAAAAAATAAAGAGTCTGAGACTATTTTTAGTGCCATGCCACAAAGATTATCGATGATAGACATTTCGTCAATACTAAAATGAAATGAAACTACATTGGACGAGTCTTTTCAAAGACAGATAATATCTAATTAAACTAGGCAATGGACTCAAAATTTTTAAAAAAGGTACAATGTTATTTTTGATAAAGGATTTTTTTTTATTTGAAAAATTTTTATATGTGCATTCGACAAATCCACCATATCAAGGGAAAACATGGAATACTTCTGTACTCTTTTTACTACTTTTACTTTAGATAAATGCTAATGCTATTTCATCAATGTTGAACAGCCATGTTCTAATAATACTAGAAACGTATAGATAATAAAAACCATTCGAAATAAAACAGAACCAACACAATCAATCATGAATAAATAGGAATAGAAATGCACCACACTTCTGTATAAACACGATATATGCATATTGTTCTGTATATCATGACACACTGAACATTTTTTGCATGACAGTTACATATGTAACTTTCATTCTCGGAAACAGCTTTATTTTGCTTAACTCTTATGCTAATTTATGTTAAATTTAGCAATATAGTGTATAGAATAAAACATTCTGTCACGGTTCAAGCAGATTTAGATTGATGCTATTGAATGTGCGCTCGCTTTACTGAGCTTAGCTATTCCAATAGTCAGTTTAGAAAAAATTTCTTCCATTATAGATACCAGAGAATATGCAAATTCACGATATCAATTGACCATGCCTACCAAGTTCCTAGCATTTGTCGAAAAATTGATTGTCTCATCGATACCAATGGTTTCAGTTTAATTTTTCAATTTTCATTGTTCAACACCACTTGAAATTCGTAAGAAGAAACTTTACTCTATAAAATAGAGCATGTCTTAAAGTAAATTGATAACTCTCAATATGTTCTTTTCTTCACTTAGTTTTCTGGGAAATTTTCAAATTTAGCTTATATTGAAGAGCACTTTTTTAATAGAAAATCAACTGAATATGAATATGGTGTGGAAATAATTGAAGCATATACTAGCATATCTTTTTTATAGGGAGAACGTCCTGGAGGTATGAGAAGATTCGATGAAATTGGATAAATCTTGAAAGAGTTAAGAGAAGATCAGGTAGGCACGATTGTAAACGACCGTATAGGAAGAAATGCAGTAATTTACGGAGAAAAAAAACGCTCGTTTACTGTTCTCTTACAAGATAGTTCTACAAGGTCACAGAAACATTAGATCTCTGAAGACATGTATTACCAAGAAATACTATCGTTTACGAAAGTCCTAAACTTTGTTCTGGATATTTTTATAAAAGATCTATTGAAATATTACTTAGTACAAGTTATTGCTCTCATATGAAATTAACGTGAACATGCAGAATTTGGCAAATGATTGTCGAGTTTTTGCCCAGTTTGGTGTTACTAAACTTTTAGGAAAAGCTGCATCTAAAGTAATTCCAACGTGGTCGATAAATTCCAGTAACTTTCTGTAAAAATCCTTCTTGGAAAACATGATGACTGTTTAAAAAAATATGGATAAGAATAGTTCTCATATTGTACTGTTTCCATAGCAAAACCATCAAGATCTTATTAAAATGGAATATCTCATTCAATGATCACCACAAGCAGTTCATTTTTTTAAAATTCATGTGTTTGACAATGAGAGTAATAATTTCATCCGAATTCGGACAATCTTCTTGAGAATCGGTGTCAAATATACCAACAGATCGAGTTTTTCTAGTCTGACTTGATCTAGTCTAGCTCAGTAATACCTGCAGGATTATGCAAATGTCAACTGTTCGCTCAATTTATTTCCATGAGAGTAGGATAATAATAAATTCTTGTACGAATGATAAATTAAAACAAGAAGAAAATCATCATAAAGATTTTTCATATAAGACAGACTCTAATTAATAAAATGTCTTTGATTATATCTGTATTGTTACACATAATCAAAAAATTCTTCTGACAGCTCATTAAACCTACAAGACTAAACTAGTGTTCGACTGAAGCATTTGTTATTGAAATTGAATAAATTTGTCCCAGTGTTCTCGGATAATAACTGACTTGACCTATTAATGAAGGAGAATATTAAATGGAAGGATCAGACTGGGCTTAGATGTCAAAACTTGATCCGGTAAATGACTACCAGGTACTAGACCAAGCTAACAGCTCTAATTAGTAGAAAATGTTCGCTTGAGTGAACAACTTAAACCTAATTATCAGCTTCCTATTTGGTCATCAGATGATAAAATATGTTCAATTGACAAATCTATGAAAAAATTAGTTGATTAAATTCATCTTTGAAGGATAATACTTATTATTAATTAAGAAACCATTCTAACAGATATTTGATTCTCATTACATTTCCAGGAAGCTGCAGATGAGTTATGACATGTGATATCTCGTATAGAAATGACATATCTCTATAGAAAATGGAATTAAAAATATTCACGTGAACATAAATAAACCCAGTCATAATGTTACCATAAAATTAGAATAGCTATTAAAATTGTTAAACTTGTATCATCATTTCAACAAACCTTCGTACTGATGTCTTTCGTTCATGAAGAATTGCCTTTATTCTAGAAATTGATATTGTCTATTACAGTGCTGACAAATTTTTAATTTATCCATA